TGACAGCACACAGAAAGACAGGTTATGCTGGTGGAATGCAAACAAACTGCAGCGGAGATTAAACGTTAACAGCATGGTTTCTAATATGAGGCTGGACTATCTTGTCTTTTTTCCACTGGCACTTTTTCTTGAACACCTCACAGCATGAAATCCAGTCTCCTGGAGATAAAATAACTAAATAAATCAAAATCACATTATACACAAAGAAAGGTCTACTCTAGTTTTACCAAACATCCTGCTCAGTTTCATGATAAATGCACTGTGTTTACCTTGGCAGGCTTACAGTGAGCTTGACATCCACAAGGAGGAGTTTGTCTGTTAAAAGATTTAACCTGCTGTCATAGCTGCTTACTAAATGTTAGCTCAGGTTATAATTTCATTAACAGACTGTCTTTATTTTCACTACACCCTGACCAGATTATGTCAGTACTCTCATCCCTCCTTTCAATTAACAAGGTGCCAGTGCTGTGACAGAGCCAGTTCTGTCTCAGTGTCTTCTGAGAACCAGCCCACACTTGAAAAGCATTAAGAAATGATCTTTACATAGAATTTAGAGGATTTGTGGGCTACATCTGCCAATTATTGATGAGTTTCTTGCAGTAGGGTCTCTCACAGCCACTGAGTTTAAACTGCTATGCTTGCGCCAGCTTTACGACCTGGTTTTATTCTCTCTTCTGCTGAAACTGGTGCTAGATTGGCCACCAGAATCTGCACTAGTGGAAAGGGGGCAAAGGTCATTTCATTTCATTATCAGCTCTAATGTTTAGTGTAGAGAGAAATCTCCTCCAGTATGTTCAGTCTAGAATCTCTTATGCCATACAAACTATTAATATCTACATTTGTGGTGTAAAAAGGTTTACTCAGATCTAGATGGTACCTTGTGACTCCTGAGCCCACGGCTGGGGTTCTGGCTGGGCCCTGTAATGTGTAGCTGCTGAGATAGCACTCCACTTGTTTCCCTCCATAGTGCTCATCTGACCTGGGATCTTCAAGGACATATCATTCCAGCCTCCACCATTGACCGAAGGTTCCTGCCTCCAGCTGGAGGAAACTGAGGGAACAGGAAAACGGGAAAGACCCTCAGAGTCCCTCAGTGACAGTTTTGTTCAAAATATGTCACAGGAGGGGAGTTCAGACCAGTTCACTGACAAGAACTGACTCTGTGATACCTTAAAACTCTGAATAAGTTCACGTTTAAGAAAGCCTCATAAAAAATGGTTTACCTTTGTCTTTAACGGCTTCACTGGCTGCATCTCCCTTTCCAGTGGTTCTTGAATGAAAGGACTCTGAAACAGGGTTGGAAAGCTTGAGTAACCTATATCTATTCTTACCACATAATACTGTGTGATAATGCGGGTAGACTATATATCAAAATTGCATACTGAATATGCTACCTTCTTCTGTCATTTTAGAATAAAATACATTTGCCTTAATGCACTGAGTTGCTGCAATGTGACTGGCTCATTAGATACTTGTGTTAATGAGCACCTGAACAGGTGTACCTAAAAGAGTGGGTGGTGACTATATTTAAACATAGTGAATTCCTTCTACATGAATACCATGGTTTCCTCTGTTCCTCTTGTTAACTGCTGCTGGTACAGTTGCCTCCACGTGCGTTTTTGATGCTTCCACACTTCCTGGACCGCCAGAGTCCTCAGGACCCTTTTCCTTCCTGCGCTGCTGCCTCTTTTCTCGGTTACTGACTTTTGTCTCCCACACACCTGGATGACACACACATACATGCACCCCAAAAATAACACAACATTCTAAGGGGATGTGGTATATACCGGACTATGAAGGATATTTGCTCATTACTATATTTTAAAGAGTCTGGCTGCAATCAGAATGACAGGACATGCATGAGAAGCACATTCTGCATAATATTAAAATGTCTTTTTGAAAATGAGAAGCTATTGTGACATTTCCGCCTCAACGGTTGAGCTGTACCGTCATCAGGTTCCTTCCCATCGTTTGAAGACAAAAGCTGAACTGGTTTCACATCTGTCTTGTTCTTCTTCTTGTTCTTCTTCACCTGCACCGGGGCTTGCACCTCCGGTTTCTGTGGACAGAAATAAAAGAACAATCAAGTTACCTTATAATAACATGTTTACTGCACTCAATGTCTTTTATTATTTATCCTTTATCATCCCAACAGTAGTCTCCAAATGTATTTTTTCACTGCACAGAAGTGGAGTTTTAGCAGTATGTCACCAGTAATAAAACTATCTTGCAAAACATCAACAAAACTGAGCAATTCAGGGAAATGCTGCGCCTACTCTGCCCACCACTGGTTTCACATTTCCTTAATTTTGATCATACCTTCTCAGTTTTGATCTGTGCTGGCAGCTTAGAAACTGCCTCAGCCACTTTAACTTCCTCTTGAGCCACAGTCACTGGCTGCCCATTGGACTGAGACTTCTGGAGGGGTGAAAAGACACAGATAAGAAACATAAAGCATGACAACCCATAAAAACAGGGAGTGCTAAAGAAATTATCAACTTACTTAAAATAAAAACGACAGTTTTTGCGTCCACACTAAATTATTAAGCCTTATATGACTGGTTAATAACACACTTATTGTCTGTTAGCTTATTTTAAAAGTTATATTTAACAGGTTAAACAGATTATCGCTTTCTAAATACGAGCTTCAAATAAGTCTTTAAAACCATTTTCACTCATCAAAGCGAAAGTTGAAGCTTCAGGTGGCTAACGATGACGTATAAACTAGCTAGCTAAACAGGAGTATCAGGTGGTTGCAAACACCGATAACACCTTCCCTTTCTTAATAAAACACCCTACCTTCATCCATATGCAGTTAGATTACGGGTTTATTTTGTCACTTGTAAGTGGGTCGTGGAATTGTCCCTAGATGGCCTAATTTGTGCTGTGTAAACAAAGCATACGACGAGCTATACGATCGTCAATTCATACATGCCAGGTAGCTAGCTGGCTAGCTAACGCCAAACTTAACCGCTTTTGTTAATAAAATAATAAAATAAGTGTCTAACTGAACTGTTTTGCAGAGGGAGCATTTAGGTTAAGGAGTTAAATGAACACCCGCGCGTGTTGTGACTGACTCGCTGTGATTAGACGGCTCGGTAAAGGCTGCCTGCGGTACCTTTTCTACCGTTTTCTTTTTGTTCTTCTTCTTCTGCTCTTCTGGTTTGGCAGTTTTAGCGAAACCGGCCTTGAGGGGCTCACCGCCGCCGCCGCTGCTGCTGCTCCTGCTGCTGCCGTGTGTGACCGGGGATCCTCGCTTTTTCCCGGCGAGCAGCCCGCCGCAAACAGCGGCCCACGACAGACTGATCAGCAGCAGAAGACCCGCCGCGGCCGTGGACAGGATGACCCACGTCGGGTACAGCTCGGGCTTCAGACCCAAGTCAACCCCGAATCGAGCCCGAACATATCCCTGTCCCGAAGACAGCAGCTCCTTCAAGTGGCTGGAAAGCAGCTCGGCTTTCTCCAGCGCAAGACCTCGCAAGTCTCCAGCCATCTTTCAAAATTGCGCATACACTAGCTGTAGCTATCATTTCCAGCGCCCGTGCTAACGGAGGAGTGGCTAATCTAATCTGACTGTTAACATCGAGGCTACAAACAGCAGTATATCAATACTACATCTGCTCAATATTAAAAAGCTCACACTCACAGGTTTGTCCAGGACAGCATCATGCACTTACACGAGCCGCTCTGTAAGTACAGGAGTTTTTCTGTCTTACCCATGAATTTGAAAATTACCCACAAAATACTAAAACACATATGCTATGTAAATGACACCTGTCCTGAGGTTAAATGTACACCTAGTTGTTGAAAAAGTGGTTCCAAGCTATTATTTAAAAATACAAAATAACAACTTAAAAATATAACAACTAAAATCAGTTACAACCCACTTTTTCTGCTTTGTGTTGATAGACTCTTGTAATTGTTAAGCCTTAAAAGAAAGAGATAAAACAGTGAGACGAAAAATAAGTGACACAATCCAGTCAGGCGTTAACTCCAAAACACTAAATCTTTGACAAATTTTGTGTTTATCCGATTTTTTTCTGTCTAGATTGTGTCACTCTAACCAGTTTAACCCACATTACAAAAAGACAACAAATTAATTTTTTGAAATTTCTTTCTTTTATTTTATTTAACTGCATGTACCCTTCACTTTCATGCTTTATTACATTACACAGCTCACGTTTTATTTCCGAGAGAACACTAATATTAGCACTGATTTGCAACCCAGCTGCTCGAAATCCCGTGAGTGCACATATAAAACATTACTGTACAAACATGTTAACAACATACCGAATATTATTAAACAATATATCCATGGTCCTGAGTATTTTTTTTGTTAGATTTATGTCATAATCTGTGAATTAAAAAATCCATTCAGCCATGTTATCTTGTGCAACACTGTTACTCTAATATTAACCCTGGTGCTTTATAATTTGAATAAAATAACCATAAATGTTTTTCTTAGCTCACAAGGGATTAATCTATTGCCTTTGTAACATAGTTTCAATTATTTTCTGAAAAGTGTACAAAAAAATGTATTCAACAAACACTCAAAAATAAATACTAAAATTACAAAAAAAGGTAGGTTCTGAAAGTTGTTTAAATGAATGAAACTGTATGAATATTTAATATGAGGGTGATTATCTTTAATTTAAAGGTTAATAATTTCTAAAACAATATTTATAAAGTCCACTTTTTCATGTCACAGTATACAGCAACCAAAGTATTGCATAAAAAGTGTAGCTTTGATGCCTGAGCTGAAAGAAATTTTTTTTTTGGATGGTTTATTATTTGTTTTTCTAACGTGCATAAAATAAATTTAGAAAATAAAGAGTCCTTTTTTGACTATTTACAATTTTTGAAGCCCACATTGTCCACCAATCATAAAATGATCCACATCGCATTTATTTCCTGTCACCTACATTTGAGAATAAGGCTGTTGTTGGTTCTCAGCTGTACAAACATTTACCTCTTGCATTCATTTACAACACCTACACATATTTGTCAAAACATTTTTTATTGTATTCTAAAAGTTAGAAAATATTAAAGCAATTTGCCATAGAAACAAGCAACACGAAGCAGAAAATTAAAAATATATTCTGTGTTTTTATTATCCAAAATGCTCAGTGAGGAAAGAAATACTATTTATGTCACCTCCCTCATTATTTTGTCATGATGGCAAAATGTTGATGCTCACCCATTCTACTTATAAACTGTACTGGTTGCTAAATAATTCTCCATCTCTAATACAAAACAAAACAAAAATCCCAAAAAACAATAACAACAAAAAAAGAGTACAGCCTTCACTTCGTAGCACTGTATCAGTATTACAGTAAGACTTGAAAACCTCTGTTGTATAATAACTGTATGAAAATAAATAAATAGGTTGACCGAATGTAACAAATTTACAGTAACATGCCATGTCAGTTTTTAGAAGTCTGCGTCTAGTGTGAATTCACCGTCCATCATGCTCGACATGACTCCGAATCTTTGATACTCCGCCACGCGTTTCTCAAAGAAGTTGGTTTTCCCCTCAAGTGAGATAGACTCCATGAAGTCAAAGGGATTTTCAGCTTGGTAAACCTTGGATTTAAAAAAATAAGGAAAAAAGACAAAAATAGGTTTAATTTCCCCCATTCTGGTGTGCAGAGGGTTTTGAACGAATGATTTTTAGCATTACCTTGGTCAGTCCGAGATCAGTGAGAAGCCGGTCAGCCACAAACTCGATGTACTGCTTCATGAGGCAACTGTTGATTCCTATGAGATCTACTGGCAGTGCCTCTGTGAGAAACTCCTGTATATGAATAATAACGATTAGTGACTTATAGCACTGGTACAACCTATTAAGATTTTATTGCTTCAGAATGTCATGCTGTAAAGCAGCGGTGGGAAACTCCAGGCCTCAAGGGCTGGAGGGCTCAAGTCCTGCAGGTTTTAGATATCACCCTGGATCAACACAACTGAATCAAGTCAAGTCAAGTCAAGTTTATTTATAAAGCACATGTAAAAACAACCAAGGCTGACCAAAGTGCTGTACAATAAAATACAAATATAAAATACAATAAAACACAAGTACATAAA